ATATAATAACAGTAACATAATTATTAAACTGTAAGCTCTGGAGCAGGAATCCTAGCTTCATATCTTACTTTCGTTATTCACTAGCTTTATAACCTTGGACCAACTTTACCTTTCTCTGCTTCAGTTCCTCATCTATAAAATGAGAATAGTAATAGACTCTACCTCCTAGGGTTGTTTTTAGTATTATACATGTAAACACTTAGAAGTGTGCCTGTACATAGTAAGTGCCCAAATGGTAGCTCTATTCTTACCCTTTCTCTTCTGTTTATTATTGTTACTGTTGTTGCTACCATTATTATTTACATATTTGTACGTATATAAATGTGATTTTTTAAAACTATCCAGTACCAAGCTTTAGCAAATGTAGTATTTGCTTCAGACTTTTAAAAGAAATTATATTGTAGATTTAGCGTAAGCTCCCTGTATACCCTATTCCTATTCCTTTTATTCCCTACCCAGAGGAATCCATCATCCTGAATTTGGGGTGTATCATTCATATGAAAGTCTGTACAATTACCAATATGTATGTAGCCATAAAAAATTGCTTTAGTATATAAATAGTATAGAAATGATATCATGTTTCTCTTGAGCACCCAAGTGCTCAACACCCATGTTCATAACCCAACTATCTTGAAATTTTAACAGTATGTCNCCTAAAACAGTATTTTAACTTGGCGTCTCCTGTTCATCATGCTTCAGGTTTCCTATTCTCAAAGTACACCAGTCACCTTTCTGTCTCCCTCAACACTTATGTTTCTCTATACCTCTTAAATACTTTTGTTAAAGTATGTATTTATTACAGGTAACTTTTGTTTACTTGTCTCTTCCCCCTCCTAGACAGTGAACTTTTTGAAAGCAAGAGTTTTTATTTTTTCAACACGTATTCTGTAGGTTAGTAGATGATAGCAGTGAGAATGTGGATGTATAGATTGAGAAGAAGCGACTTGTTTTAGAAAGGGTAATAGTGGGACTGGGGACAAAGAGTATGGGTTTAGCACATAGTCAGTGCTCACAAATATTCGATGACTGAGAATTCCAATTTGCCTTTTACTTTGTGCTGTAAATAGTCCTATACAAATGATATTTTTATTGTTGTGTAATTATTAATCACTGATTTTTAAAAAGTAAGCCAACTCAGAATTTAAAGACCAGAAAAAATGAGTAATTGAAATTCTGTTACATTTCTTGCCAGAATTGCTTACTAAAAACTGTTAATATGAGTTTTCAGACCTAAAGCTAAGTAGTCAAATTTTGCCTCAAATGAGAGAAAGAGATGGTTGAATTACATCATTTGCTTCCCTGTATAAGTTATCTAGGATTCCAAATATAACGAAATTGAAGAAATAATGCTTGACTATGANTTTTATTTTTTTGTGGCTGGCCACAAGGAATAGAACCCTGAACCTTCATGTTATCAGCACCACGCTGCTTACAATGCTGTGTGTTTGAAAGACTGTTTGTCTGTTTAGAGAGGTTCTACTTTCCTGTTTTAATAAGAGAAAGACCAAGTGATGGTCTACTTTATAAATTTTTGTCCTTGGTCTACTTCTAGTCTTGCCTATCTGAAGCTTACCACTTGCACTGTAATTGGAGAAAGTGAGTGAAGATCTCAAAACTAACAACCCTTCTCCCTAAGGCCTAAGTCCAAGCCTTCATAAGCTCCACTCTCCATGCCTCCTTTCTTCCCGGTCTCTTCCTAATTCCAGTAATCTTCCAATGGAAGGGACATATCAGCAACAGAAAACAGAGAACAAATATTAGTTTTCTCCCAGTTCTTTACAGTTCTTTTCTTCCTTACACAAAATGTGCATTTGTTGGTACAGTGGCTTACTTTCTCTCTCAGGTCTCCATTTTGTCCTTGGCTCATATCAGAACACTTTTCTGTTAGAGATAGACCCAGGAGGTAAGACTTGCACTCCCTCAGAAATTACAAAGTGCTGTAAACAGATGCCAGTTGTACTCAGAATAACTGACTTTTCAGGTTAGCTGCCTTGNAGTATTAACCTTTCTCTATAGCATAATAGTTCAGAGGCTGTTCTGGAAGGTAGTACAGGTATGGAAAATCTTTAGTCTGTATATGAATCCATGAATTCCTTTGTGTCTCTTATGCTTTCCAGTCTTGCTTGAGTAAAAAGGTGTTGAGTTAGACCTGGCTTGTTCAAAAAAGATAAAGTACCATAAATATGTATTCATTATTTGTATGGACTTCATTGTGGATATAATCTGTGGTCTTATTTGACATTCACAACAACCTTATGAAATAAATAGCATGGCT